TTGTTTTGGAAATAAAATTCAAGCATAAATCTGTTCATGTGTAGAAACAGAAATAGAACAGATCAGTAAGCAATCTGATTGTTAATGATTAAAAAAAACAGACTTTTGGGTGGATAATAGGAAAAATGCTCATGAAGAAAAATAAAAGAAAATTTCCTTGCTTTTTCCCATTGTAGAAAATAATGATATATTGTTTAGAACACTTAGAATATATGAAGAATAGATGGAGTGATTGGATTATGTCAATGCCCGGAATTGGGCTGTGTCAAAATCAAACAAACATCTGTGTTATTGTCAGATGTGAGTGAATTCCCAGTTTCCTGTTCCCAGGGTAAATACTATCAGAGGAAAAACAATTGGAAAATTAATTTTAAATATTTTTAAAAGTCAAAATACCTGTCTTTGGATTCTGGATAAGGTTTGCCATAAGTTCTGGGCAAACTCAAATTTGAACCATTATGAATTTATTATTGTTTGTTATAAAGTCATTTAGAAAGCCTTTGCTATTAGAAACTGAAAATAACCAAAATTTAAATCTCAGAAAGAAAGTCAGCAACAAAAATGTTTTTTGTTGCTGTCATCATTATTCCTGTGCAACTGAAACTATAATTCAAAATTTCTTTGTTGCTGGGCCAGTTGTGACATAAACTTGTTACGTACCCTTGAGCCAGACGTACAAAAGCTGTGCTTTGCTTTTATGAAATGTAGATAGTCGTAATATTTAAAATTCTTGCAGGTGTTCATTAGAGTAAGTAAATTGTGTTGAGAGGTGCATATAATTACAACCTGAGAGTGAAAGCACTGAGACAATAGGATTGGTATCAGCACCTCACCCACAAAACATTCAGGGACTTCCATTCGTCACTCTTACACCAAACATGGATAATTGAACTCCAGCAAGTAGAATGAAATGTTTCTACTCAAGGTAATTTGCAGAGCCACAGAACCGTGGTAGCAATTCTCTCTTCAGGGTCTGTTAGCTTCAAGTCATTGCATGTACCGAACTGGCCCAAAACAACTTTTAAGATTGTTCAGTTGATAATCTAAGCATATAGAGCCCAGTTAAGTCACAGTAATTGGTCTATCATTACTGATCTAAAAAAATGTAACTAATACAGGGGTGTCAAATTCATGTCGTCACGGCAGCATCACGTGATGTATTGGGACTTCTCCCCTTTGCTAAACCAAGTGTGGGCGTGGCCAACGCATGATGCATCTGGCCCACAGGCCGGGAGTTTGACCACCCTGAACTAATGCCTGGCTAGGAAACCTTCAGAAAATGCCAATTCCGTGAGCTAGACTGGGACGTTTAAAAAAAAAAAACTCTAGAAAGCAATAGCTTTTTATTACCAAGAATTCTGTAATACATAATCAGTCAAGCACATTGTTCTTTTTTTCTTTCCATCCACCTAGAATACTTCTTCTTCTGTGCCATATCTGTCATCCAACGTTGGCGATCATGTTGCCGATCCTACTTTTATCAACAAGCCACACGAAAAAGTGCTGCTGAGTTTTGTCCAAACCAATCCCTTAGATTACAGAATGTGGAAACCAGAATCATATACACAGTCTTGGCATCATGCCACTCTACCAGCAGAATAACTCCAAAAACTGAATTAAAAAGGACCAAACTTGTGTTGGGGTAGAAATTGGTGGAAGAAAAATAGGTTTTTACAAATGGGACATATCTTCTTGGGAGCAGCAAGGGGGAAAAATGCCCCCAGTGCACCCCTATAGGAAAGGCATTTGGGCGGTTGATGACTGTTCCATTCTAAATCCTCCTTTTTTCCTGGTTACATGATCCAGAGTGGAGCTATTATGAAGCTCTTGATAAGAATCCCACAAGTCACGTTCTGCCTACTTTCCTTAACTTATCAATATTATTGTTTCCAACCCAACAGAATGTTGGAGGAAATTGATATAAAGGGGCCAACACTCTATTGACAGTCTATCAGCAGGAATGAAAACTGAAAGAGAACCAGGCCCAAATTTGTGTATAGGAAGTAGCTGGCAACAGAAAGATTGAATTCAACGATTACAGATCCCAAATGCTGGAGTATTACTGTAGTTAGATTAGTTGAATGTCTATGGAGATTCTCAGTCATCCAGGTCTTGATTGTCCCAAAGGTGCTTTTTCAAGAAGCAGGTGGACTATCTGGTTTTTCTTTGAAGACATTTTGCTTCTCATCCAAGAAGAGGTTAGATTAGTTGAGTTAAGCCCAGTCATTATATTCTTTCCTTAAAGGAGAATATTTGTAGCTCAGGGTTGAAATGAGAGGTCCTTGATAGTGTCTGAACTTGCTTGTTTTCTTGCAGACATTTTGTTAACCTAACTAGGTAACATCATCAGTGCGAGTAAGGAATGTTGTTTGGTATCATTCTATATTCTGGTGTCTTGCCTGTCTGTGATTCTTTGATTGGAATGTATAAACAATCTCTTAAGACCACCCCCACCACACAGACAGGCAAGACACCAGAATATATAATGAGAGCAAACAGCACTCAGTAGCATTGATGATGTTATTTAGTTAGGGTAATGAAAATTTTGGAACACAGTTTCTGTTATCTTAACGAACTGTGTTTTGGATTAATTCCTCATCTGAGACATGAATAACACTGAATTTATACATTATTTTATTTAAACTTCTGTTTATATACACTCAGAAATTGTATTTTATAAACCTAGCCTATTGTGATTTAATTAATAAACCCAGACTTAGCCTTAATGTGATTCCATTCGCTGAATACATTGCAAATTCTTTCTAGAACAGAGTACTTTTGAAGAGTTGATTGTATTTAACTTTCCAACTCTGGAATTTTTCACAGATCCTTGACATTCTTACAGGTATGTACTTAACATTAGCCACTTAAATGCTGATATAAAAAGAATGTTATTTGCAATCAAGAATTCTTTTTGAAAAGGAGTGCAGGCCAGAGAACTCAAATGATTGGCTTCAAATGACTGCAGCAGTTCACAGTCTTCCTGGAAGCTATTTAAAGACTGCTATGATCACTTAACAGGTATTAAAATTGCTCATTTTAAAAATATTTTGTGACTCACATAACATGCTAATTTTACTGTCTTAACTTTCTTTTTCAACCAAATGTCCTTCAAATATATTAAAATATACACCTCATTGTTCCCACCTAGTATGGCTAAGAAACAAGGCTAACTTAGCTGATGGGAGTTTGTATTCCAGTATATCCAGAAGGCTGAATTAAAGTGATATAACTCTTATATTAAATAAAATAATAATTTTCTGACTAACAAATTTTACTAAAAAGCGTTAAAGTTTTTGAGGATTGCAGCTCAGTTCATGAAATGTATAGAGTTGCTAGGCAAACATCTCTCAAGCTTGGAAACTTGAGGATGTGTGGACTTCAACTCCCAGAATTTCCCAGTTATCATGCTGAGTAATTCTGGGAACTGAAATCCGCATCTTTAAGTTGGTAGGACTAGACATATGTAGGAATTTAAATTTGGGCGATGTGGGGGAAAGTGGGGAGCAATGTATTGGGGGTACATCGGTCTAGGCATTCAAAAGCAGCTTCGCTTCAGATTTATAGCATAGGCGTTATGTATAAATTTCCCATGTGTGCATAGACCTTAATTATGCAAGAATTTGGCCAACAGAGAAACTATGCATAGACAGGCAGGCAGGCATTTAAATGCCCCAATGGAAAGAGCGGACATAAGAGTATTGAGTATGTTAAAATTGCAGTTATGGAGTGTACCATTGCCAGCTCTTTCTCTCTCTCTCTCTTATGTTCAGTTAATTTTGGAGGCCTCCACAGAGGGTAGTATGTCATTTGTTCTGGAATTCAGTGTGTGATAAATAGGTTACTAAAATTAATGAGACTTAAGAGACTTACCTGTGAACAGAATACAGTCTAGATTAGCAGATAGGGGGTGATCTATAGAAAACCAAACACTATATACTTGCTCAGAAGCAACTGAGACGTTTTCCTAGGAAAATGAAAATAGTTAATGTATGCTGAGTGCAAGCTCTATTGAAGCATCAGGACTCCTTTCTAATTAGGTATATCACACACACATACACACACTATTTGAATTAAAGCTTGGGTATACATACTTAAGTAATGCCAAGAATGATTCAAAGGTTATTTTCACTTATGCAATCCTGCAATGCTATAATTAAGACTACAAACTGAATATAGATTTCAAACACTGGATTTCAGTATCAAGCAATTTCTTTTAATAGTACACATTTTTCTAGTTACATTTCCAAAATGTCTCCCTTCTGTGCTAATTAAGGTTCTCATTCAATACATTGATAATTGTTCAGCTTTGATTCCAGTAATCTGATCACTTAATTTGTTTACTGATTAATATTTTACTAATTTTATAGATCAGAGTTCTGCTTGGAAAATTTAGCCCTGTTTTAAAACAGCTCTGCTTCTCCATTAGAGACTCCAATATAGCATATACAGTTTTTCTCTTTTGAGAAGATACAATCAAGAGATAATTTCCCCACCCCATCCCGTCTATTTGAAGCTCTTATTAAGTGTACAGTACATTAAAAAGGATTTTTACCGAGAGGGCAGGATTTAAACACTTGGGGAAGTTTATATTATACAAAGGTGAAAAATGGAAGTTCATGAAGAAATATGCACTTTCCTCACACCATCACTTGTCATTTCAACCTAAAACTTACTTTTTCCTGCTGTGAATATCTTCTATCACTATTAAGCATTTTAAACTTTACACCAGTTGCCCTTCAAGTGAAATCAAAACTATCTTTTTAGGTTGTCATATTTAGTCAATTTTTAAAATCTATTTTAAATCCTATATGGTCAGGGTCCCCAACCCCCAGTCCGTGAACTGGCACCAGTCCGCAACATGCCAGAAACCAGGCTGCACAAACAAGCGAAGCCCCATCCACGGGATGCAAGCAGCACACGAGCACTAAGAGTTCTTTTTGAATTGTGTACCCTTACAAAAATAATAAGTAAACAATGCATTTGGCATGATTTTACTATTTTATAGCAGCATGATTTTTAGCAGGAATAAATGCAAAGAGGCCAATGTGAAACTGAGGCTTTCAGTCACACTTTATGTTATCAAAATAGTATCAAAGCTGAGCTTTGATCACACGGACAGATGAAATTTTCCTCATTATCAATGGAGAGACCACCTCCTTTCTGAACCATAGAAAAATGGTTAGAAAATCAGAAAGTGTCTACCCCGATGTTGGTGGATACAGGTTGTTTCAACTTTGAATATAATTCACGATTCGTTGCAGTTCTTCCTTTTCATTTCCTGCTAGGGAACTTTGTGAGAATTATTCTTGAGAAATAATCACTTTTGGTTTTAGGCAGCTGCCAATGAGACTGACAGTTGAATTAGGCTTGTCCTGCGTGGCATACACACCACATTATGGCACATTGAAAGAGGGAATTTCCCCAAAAATGAGCAAGTACCCTTAACTATTATAGCACAACAATCCAGTGCAAACTTCCAATATGGCCAAACATTCTTAACATTCATTCTTAAGTGTTTTACACCTACCACACAGTTATTTACAGTGACGCAAATTTTGGCCATCTATTTTAAGTAGCAGCAAGCTCTCTATAATAGTAGAACTCTCTTGTGGAATCTCAGCACATTAATGACAGGATCACCCAGGGTGCTATTTTGCACACAGCGATTGCTGTGCTCACATTTTGATTTCAAATGATATACATTTCATACAAAAATTGAATTAATCTAGATGATGACTGTGCACCATCAGAAGAGTCAGGCTGGGAACAGATCATCCTGAGGAAAAATCTGTCTTTGTGGTCCACACTATCTTGATGGCACATAATCAATCAATCGGTCAATCAATCTATAGCTGATTGTATAGTGGCAAAGTAAAAATCAAACCAGTTACTTCCTAATTGATGGCCAAACTCATCAGGTACAAGACAAGAAAAAGTATTCAAGCTTCCAATGTTGGCAGAACTGCAGAGCTAATAAAGTCCACCATTTTTCCGAAGGCACTCAGCATCAGTTGTCCGCCACCTTCAACATAATGTCAATGTTGAAATTCCAGATCCCTGCATTACGCAGTCAGGTAAAGTGCAGCAAGATATTGCAGAATTCATTCACCTTTTTTCAGTACTTCCTTAATTGATACCATTCTTTGCGACTCTTCTGTTGCTATTTATTTGTTTGTATTTGTCTGTTTTGGCAGTGTTACTACTAACTTCTTTTGTGGCTCTTTTCTTGTCCCATTTAGCCTGTTTGAAAAGGAGTTTATAAAATATAATTTATGCTTAGAACATATTCTGTAGAAGTAACTCTTAAACAGGGAAACAAGGTTGGAGAACAGTTTTTTAAAAAGAGACTGATTAAATAGTATTCCTAACAGCACTAAAACTTGAATGATCCCTAAGTTCTAGTCTTAAATTAGGTATGATAACCTATTAATATAATTATTTCAATTCAAAATTTGCAAAAATCAAACCTAAAACAAACTGACAATTCTCTGGGTGGGCATGGGAGAATGAACATTATAAAGATGTGGAGCTTTTAATTCAGAAAACAATCACAGAATGTTAAAAGTTACCAGGGACCTCAAATATCATCTAGTCCAGCCCAGTGCAGTACTACTACGGATAGTCCTCAACTTGCGGCCAAAATTAAGCCCAAAATTTATGCTGCTAAGTGAGACATTTGTTAAGTGAGTTTTGCCCCATTTTATGACATTTCTTGCTACAGTTGCTAAGTTGAATCACTGCAGTTATTAAATTAGTAACTCAGTTGTTAATTGAATTTGGTTTTCTCATTGACTTTCCTTGTCAGAAGGTCACTAAAGATGATCACATAACTCCAGGATACTGCAATCGTCATAAATAGGAATCAGTTGCCAAGCACCTGAATTTTGATCATGTGACCAAGGAGATGCTGCAATGGTCGTAAGTGTAAAAACTGGCTGTAAGTCACTTTTTTCAGTGCTGTTGTAACTTCGAATCATCACTAAATGAACTGTTGTAAGTTGAGGACTACCAATACATCATACCTCAGAGATGACTAACTGGGCTTTTAAAATTATCTTCAGTGAAGGCCAGTCACCTCCTCACAAGCAGTTTGGTTTCAAAGCAGTTAAAGTTAGATTTCAGTTAGACATCAAGCAATATGTTCTAATAGTAACAGTTGTTCATCAAATTGTTACTATGAATAGAATAGAATAGAATAGAATTCTTTATTGGCCAAGTGTGATTGGTCACACAAGGAATTTGTCTTCGGTTCATAAGCTCTCAATGTACATAAAAGATATAAGTGATAAATCATTATCATAGTCATCAGAAATACATTCTTCATGAATCATAAGATATAACATTTAGTGATAGTCATAGGATACTAAATAAGCAATCAACATAAATCATAGTAGGAAACTAAATAAACAATATAAATCATAAAGATACAAGCAAAAAAGTTTTAGTCATAAGTAGAAAAGGAAATAGCTAATAGGAAGGATGAGAAGAATAATAGTAATACAGTCTTAGTAAATAGTTTGACAATGTTGTGGGAATTAGTTGTTTAGCAGAGTGATGGCATGGGGATAAATTAAAACATTGCTTGATGTCTAACTCAGATCTACTTACATATTATGTAAATAATTATTATTTCTTGCTTTGTCTTCTCAAACAGCTCTGAAGAATTCCTCAGAAGGATATGATAATCCCTCAGGAAGTAGGAGTATAGTAAAAATAAACTAGAAGACAATTATTGTGTCTTTTCACAGCCTTTTTTCTGCAGACTAAACACATTCAATGGCTTCAAAGCATTCCTCCTATTATTTCCTTTCCAGCCTTCTTGGTTGCTCTCAGTAAATACCTATACAAGATGGTAAAAGAGCAATCAATACTTATAAATGGATATGGGGAGAATAAATTAACATTTTCCCCACCCCTTCCTTCAGTAATGTAAAGGATACACTGCATAATGCCAGTCTTAGAAAATGGAATGGCTCAGCATTTCATCGTGTTTAGAATCACGCTATATTCTCGATCGGCCTAAAAACATTGTGTTTGTGACAAGGCTTTGCTGTTCAGTCCTTTGAAGAAAAAAATCAGAGTTTTTATACAAACCTATTCTAACTGAATATGACTTTTATGGTGAGGAAACTAACCCTAACTTTGCCTCCTTCAGCCTGAGAAGATCTGAATATACAGTAAAGGATAATTGTGCCAACAGAGAGGGGGGAATGCCTAGCTGAATACTTTTTTCCGCTTATAACTGCAGAAATACTGTAGAGCTTAATTGTATTTGATTAAAGGCCCTTCTGCAGGATTGTTCTGCACCATCTGAGGATTGGTGTCACATTATCGCCTGTTTCAGGGAGCTAAGTCTATTTTTCTCCGCATCAATTGATTGGAAACTGCAATAAAGGTGGTTTTGTATATGACTATAACTCTAAGGACCTTGCTGGTATATTTGTGCCAATTGTTGGTACCAATTTTCATACCGGCAGAAATTTTTGCTTCATTCTGCCTCCCAACTCCTGGCCTCAAGCCAGCCATCATTCTCTTCTCAGTCTTGACTTCCTGCTCTGAAAAGATTTGGGATTCTGCTTCTGGACCTTGTGTTCTGCCATCTGTGTTATTTAGAACTTGCCTTCCCTAGTCCCTCAATCCAGTTGCTATGGCAACATGAAACCACATCACAAAGTACCTAATGGCAAAATTGTTTTACCTTTAGAATTCACAAGGGTTTTTAAACGCAGTAGTGGAATAGCAGCAAGGGTGGCCAGGAAGCCTTTGAATTTGGTTTAGGTTTTGTACAATTAATATCGCCACATAAACAGAACGTAATCCTACACTCACCTCTGAGGTTCTAAAGCTATTTTGTGGCTTCTGGGCTGCATTTTCAGTGGTGTGAGTTGATAGTTTTGTACACTGTGTAGCACAATGAGCTCTTTTTTCGGGACTAGCCATGCCACTTGAAATTGAAGACTTTGCCATGCAGGTCTGGGTTGATTTGCTGTCCTCCAAAATCCCTGAAAACACAAAATTGCAGAGTGAAAGCCAAAATATTTGTTATTACTTTACATATGGTATTTTTCAGCTGAAAAGGAAATTGGCAAAATTATTCTGTTTCATAAAAGGATGTTTTGTCCATGATAAAATTAACATAAGATTCATTACATTACATTTACATATTCTTATACCTCTTCTCCCCTTCATAGGTAGACACCATATGACATAGATATTTATTTGCCTGTTGACTTTTAGCAAATGATAAGAAATGACTTAGCCACCTAAGATCCTGAAATTCTAGGGTATTTGTAAAAAAAAAAAAAAACCAAAACATTATGATCCCAAACTTGGGATGGTGAGCACTTCAATGAACAACAGAAATAAATTTTTCCTCACCTTTGGAACAGAAAGATGGTTTACTCATAAAAAACCATTCCCCACAAGCAGCAAACATGTCCACAGCAAAGAAGGCAGATTTTTAAATCTCTGAGAGGAAACACTTGAGGCCATTTTGTACTCCCTGAAGATAGGAACAACTCTTACAAAAGGCAGTGGCCCTTTCAATATGTATATACATGCCATCCATGCTCCAACACTCTTGAGGGGCTTGGAAAGAATAGAGTCAAAACACTACAGGGTAGTCCTTGACTTACAACAACAGCCCAAAATTTCCATTGCCAAGCAAGGCAGTTAAATGAATTTGCCCCATTTTATGACTTTTTTGCCACAGTTGTTAAGTGAATCAATTGTGTGGCCGTTAAGCAAATCTGGCTTCTCATCTTGTCTTTGCTTTTCAGAATCCAGCTTGGTGGTTTAGAAATGGTGATCGCATGACCCTGAGACAGTGCAACTCACATAAAGAACATGCCAGTTGCCAAGCCTACATTTTGATCACGTGATCATGGGAATGCTGCAACAGTCATAAGTGTGAAAACTGGTCATAAGTCACTTTTGTCAGCGCCATTGTAACTTCAAATGGTCACCATTCAACCTAAATGAATGGTTGTAAGTCAAGGACTACCTGAACTGTTATTTAAAAGAAAAGACAGAACAATTCGTAAAAATGACAAGTTGAGACAAATATATATATACAGTATATATGCATGTATGTATATGAGGATCCTTTTGAAGCACACCAGGTATATTTATCCACTTGGTCAACAGAAAGACAAGGTCAGCAATTTGCACTCAAGTAAGTATTGATCAAATGGCTTTGACATTAACATGGAGAACCCCATGTGGGAACTGGAAAAGAAATGGACAGATGGAGCTACAATGTTTTCTTATGAAATACTTCACCAGGGGAGCAGAATACAATGAAAATCAGTCAAATGACAAGTCAGAATATGGAGATATACCCAAGAAATAAATAAAACCAAAACTATGCTTGAGAACACAAGGAAAGTTGAAAGATAATGAAAGCCAGAACTTTGGGATCAAAATCTGCTACAACAGGGGTATCAAACTCAAGGCCCACAGGTCAAATCCAAAGCCGCAAGGTGCTTAAATCTGGCCCATGGAGCCACCCTGGAAACAGTGACGGCCTAGCTCATGCACGGTACCTCTGCAAGAATAATGTTCAGAAGGGCCATATGCCCTCCTGGGCTCTGTTTTCGCTGGCAGAAGGCTACAGGATGTTGAGCTGGCCATGCCCATCCGGCCACACCCACTCAGCCCCCTGAGGTCAAACGCAACCTTAATGTGGCCCTCAATGAAATTGAGTTTGACACCCCTGTACTACAGCAACAATCAATACAACTAGGACTTTTGTCCCCAGAGCATTTGCTGCTCTAGCAGGATGGGTTAATTTCTTTCTGTTTAGCTAGCTTATAGGTAAGTTTGGCAACCCTGACCTTGCTTGCTAAAGGAGGTGCAGCATGTTCCTTTCATAAAGAAGTGTTCAGGGATTATTACTTACTTTCCCCTTTGCTGTCTGGTCACTTCTGTTACAAGCCTTGATAAGGAAAGAGAAGGGAAGTGAGGCCATTCCAGCCATCTTCCATTCAAAGAAGCCACTCACAGTTTTTCAGCTGCAATCCAACCCATCAGGGTGAGCATGGGTGAGCAACGTATCCTTACATATCTTTAGGCAGTTTAAGCTCCTAGGGGGTAGGCGGTATGGGGGGTTAATATATTTTTGGCCTAGACAGTAAGTAGGCCATATTGTAACTAGGCCTCTTCAATAGAGCTTGGCTGCTAATTATATAATCATGTTGTAATCATACCCATTGTTAATTTTCTTCTAATTTTAATCAGACCTTGCAGTGTTGAGTAACATTTAGATGATGGAATACTATCTCCTTTATTGAATGGCAACTTCCTGGATTGCTTTCCATAGAGCATAGGGTTATGGAGTAGAGAGTTTAGGACAAGGACACTCCCAACAGCAAAAAACAAGTATTTCAGGACTTTCTCTAGAAAATCTAATGACAAGGAAGAGCTGGTACCTCTTCACAGCCAAGTCCCAGGATAAGCTGGTGGCTGATTCTTCTCCAGAAGTAGCAGTAACTGGAGATGATATATGATGCCAGAACTCACATCTCTGGTCCTAGGGACTAGAGAAACTCATACTCTAGGAACAGGAATGGTACAGATAGTCCTCAACTTACAATGATTCATTTAGTGATCGTTCAAAGTTTCAACAGCACTGGAAAAAGTGACTTATAACCATTTTTCACACAACCATTGTAGCATTCCCGTGGTTATGTGATAAAAAATTGGATGCTTGACAACTGGCTCATATTTATGACAGTTGCAATGTCCCGAGGTATGATCCCCTTTTGTGGCTTTTTGTGACAAGCAAAATCAATGGGGAAACCAGATTCACTTAAAAACCATGTTATTAACTTATCAACTGCAGTGATTCACTTAAAGGTCATAAAATGGGGCAAAACTCACTTAACAAATATCTCACTTAACATAAAATTTGGGTTCAATTGTGGTTGAAAGTCGAAGACTACCTATACAGTGAGCTGGCTAAGAACACACAAGAGGCACACTATCCATCCTCATTGCTGTTTACTCAGCGGATCCCGAGTTTTCATTGTTTGGTTCCTGAATTATATGCCTTCACTTTTTGTTTCTAGTACTATATTTCTAGTATAAGCTCCTTTTGTTCCCTGCCTCTTCCTTTTGGTTCATCTCTACTCCAACCTCCTTCTCATCAGAGAGTTTTCTAGCAATTGTAACTATAAAATGTATAAAGAGGATTTCATGGCCAAATACAGTAGGTCAGCAATTTAGCAAGAATAAAAAAATAAAATGCTGTGGAAACACTCAAAATTCATAATACCACACTGGCAGTCAGTCAAATATGGTGGTTAACAGGAGCCATTTCTAGAGCCTGCCTGGTGTCCTCAAAAGGACAATAAGGTATAGAAAATTATGCTTTGTGCATAACTGAGAATCATCATGACCACATGAAAAATGTAGAGCAATTTTGAGATTAATTGATGCTGCATTCTGTGATCAAAGAAATAAGATTGTATAGAAATATTGATGATTGTATGAAGTGCACACAAACTGTTATGTTGGTTTTTTTGTTTCATTATTCAATTTGATGCAGATTTTCACAAACGGCAGGGCAGTCTTATGCACTAAATTGTTAAAAGAGAAATGTTAACTCAGGATAATGAATGTAGAAGTATATCTTTTATGAAAAATATACAGCCTATTACATTACTGGAACCATTAAAATGATTGTGTGTGTGTGTGCGTGTGTGTGTGTGTGTGTGTGTGAGAGAGAGAGAGAGAGAGAGAGAGAGAGAGATGCGTGGGTGTGTTCCTTAAAGGAAGGATTCCAATTACCCTCAAGAAAGCAAATTTGCAGTCTAAAAGTGGTTATAAAAGCCCTTATATATATACAATTTATCTTGTGGTAATTGAATTAGTTTTTCCCCCTTCATTATACTGATTATATTTTCTTTCTGTTTCCTTCATTATTAATTAAAGTCAAAAGAGAAAAATGCTAACTGTAGAGAAGAATGAAAGACCTCAGTAACCAAGATCTGGTCACTATTGTTCATTTTTCTCATTTTTATTGGATTTTCCAATTGTTTGGGGATGTGTTTTAATGACAAGCCTAGATAAAGAAATATTACTTAATATATCAATAGGATGTTATGACACACACGGGATGTAAAACCTTATTTGCCATGTGTCAGATGTGACTGTATACAGTACATGTTTTCACCTCTCTTGGAAGAAAACAGGAAGAAATAATGACTTCCTTCATGGATGCTTTTATTATATACTGTTTGTCTCCAAACAGAGAGAAATAAAGCTATTGCAGATTACAACCCTAGGCTCCAGGAGAAGTAGGGGAACAGTTTAAAAAATGGCTGCTTAAGCAACATCTTTTAGATAATGGGAATATTGCAAGGCAGGTATTCTGTGTGCTGCAAGTGAAAACAGGTAGGCAGTTAGATTGTGAAACCCAAATTGGCCTTAAACTGAAATGGCTCAGCTGAATTAGAAGTGATTTTTAGTCAGGTATTGATCACTTAAAGCTGTAAATAGCCAGGGTGTAGTAGGAGAAAGATCATTAATTCCCCTTATGTGACGTATTTCCCACATTACTTATGTTCACAACAAACAGTAAATAACTAGCCCCTGCAATCTTCCGCCACTTCAATTATACAAAGCTTCCACAAAGAGATTACAAAGTTACAAATCAAAGTTTATACTTCCAAAACATATTTAGCAATTGAGGGGAGAAATGGCTACCTTTGTAGACTTTGCTTATTGCCAATGAATCTCCAGGTACAACCTAGTTACTTGCTGTAAGTCAACAGAAATACACTTTAGACAGGAATACAGATAAAGAATCATATGCTGCAAAGCAAATACGCTGAGGGCAGAACACTTAAAGCAAAAAAGCGCTTAGTGCAAACTAGAACTAGCAGTACTCCAGAATGAAAACAGCAAATCAAAAGGAAAGGAGACATGATTACTAGCACTGTTTGGGAGATGACGAAGCTAAAATGCATTGTTACAATGGAGCGGGTAAACCAGCTTGTTA